TTGGAGGTTGCTGTGAGCTATGATGCTACAGCACTCTTCTGAGGGGGACAAAGTGAGACCCTGTTTGTTTTTTTTTGAGACAGAGTCTCACTTTGTCACCCTTGGTAGAGTACTGTGGCATCACATCTCACAGCAACCTCTAACTCCTGGGCTTAGGCGATTCTCTTGCCTCAGCTTCCTGAGTAGCTGGGACTACAGGCGCCTGCCACAATGCCCGACTATTTTTTTTGTTGTTGCAGTTTGGCTGGGGCCAGGTTCAAACTTGCCACCCTCAGTATTAGTGGCCGCACCCTACCCACTGAGCCACAGGTGCTGTCTGAGACCATGTCTTAAAAAAAAAAGAAAAACTCTTAATAATTGAGGAACCAATCTAAAATTGAGAAATCCTTTGAAGGGAAGGAGAAGGTCATCAAAACAGAAAGCCAGCTTTTTAAGAACTTGGCAGTTAAAAAGACCTTTTTCATAGTTTGCTTGTTTTCACTTAGGAAGTTTACCATTTAAGTTTATAGGTTACCAGGTACTTGAATCCACGGCCAATTTGGATTTTTCTTATGATGTAGGTAATTGCATTGATTGGTAAAGGCATTGGCAAGGTTATCAGATGTCTTTGCCTCATTTTGCCCCCATGAGTGGATCCTTTAGTTCATCTCATGTGTGTGATTACTCTGCTTGGGGAGACCGTAGAGCAGTGGTTCTCAACCTTCCTAATGCTGCAACACTTTTTTTTTTTTGAGACAGAGCCTCAAGCTGTCCCCCTGGGTAGAGTGCCGTGGCATTACAGCTCACAGCAACCTCCAACTCCTGGGCTCAAGCGAGTCTCCTGCCTCCGCCTCCCAAGTAGCTGGGCCCCCGGGCGCCCGCCACAACGCCCGGCTATTTTTTGGTTGCAGCCGTCGTTGTTTGGCGAGTCCGGGCTGGGGATTCGAACCCGCCACCTTAGGTGTACATGGCTGGCGCCTTAGCCGGTTGAGCTATAGACGCCGAGCCTGCTGCAACACTTTAATACAGTTCTTCATATTGTGGTGACCCCCCAATGGTAAAATTATTTTCATTGCTACTTCATAACTGTAATTTTGCTACTGTTATGAATCGTAATGTAAACATATGATATGCAGGATGTCTTTAGGTGACCCCTGTGAAAGGGTCATTCGACCCCCAATGGGGTTGCAGCCCACAGGTTGAGAACTTCTGCTGTGGAGGACAGTGCATGGGTGATGCTGGTGCCTCTCAGACTGGTCTGTTAGGAGTATTTTCTCAGGTGAGCACAGATGACACAGAGACCTTTATCAGCTAGCTCACTGACATTTTGATCCTGGGTGGGACTTCTAACCAGCTCTTCATCTTTCCATGAAGGACAGTATACAGGTGTGTATAAGCAAACAAATGCTAGATTATTTGTTTTCCTGATTCTCTGATTCAAATGTAGTGAAAAAATTGACCAGCAAACATTTGAATGACTAGCAAGAGGAAATTTTTTTTTTTTTTTGAGACAGTCTCACTATGTCACCCTCAGTAGAGTCCGGTGGTGTCACAGCTCACAGCAGCCTCAAACTCTTGGGTTTAAACTGTAAGCGATTCTCTTGCCTCAGTCTCTCAAGTAGCTGCTACTACAGGTGCCCACCACAAGGCCTGGCTATTTTTTGTTGTTGTTGCAGTTGTCATTGTTATTTTAGCAGGCCTGGGCTGGGTTCGAACCTGCCAGCCCCGGTTTATGTGGCTGGTGCCCTAACCACTGAGCTATGGGCACTGGAGCCAAGAGGAAAATTTTTTTTTTTTGGAGACAGAGCCTTAAGCTGTCACCCTGGGTAGAGTGCTGTGGTGTCACAGCTCACAACAATCTCCAACTCTTGGGCTCAAGCAATTCTCCTGCCTCTGCCTGTCAAGTAGCTGGGACTGTAGGCGCCCGCCGCAACACCCAGCTATTTTTGGGTTGCAGCCAATGTTGTTTGGCAGGCCTGGGCTGGATTCAAACCCACCAGCTCAGGTGTATGTGGCTGGTGCCTTAGCCACTTGAGCCACAGGTACCGCCAAGAGGAAATTTTTTAATTACAAAATTATAGAGTAA